AGAGTTAAAATAACAAAGTTCTTGTCCCTATGAGTATTTTTGAACAACATCAAACATCCAGTCAAGAACGAAGCATGGATTGAGAAAAGCGATGATGCGTCTACATTTGAAAATGTTTGTATTAAAATATTGTTTTTAATCAGTTAAATTTATTAATAGTGCCTATATGATGTTTGTTGATTGTATGGTATTAATGTAGAACTAAACTTCAAACAATCGGATCTCTGAAGGGGTTATTCGTGGATGTGAAGAGTGTAGTCACCGCAAAAAGGTTAATATAATTCAATATTACACATTTTTACTTTATACTCTGAAGGGGTTATTCGTGGGTTTCTCCATTTTTATTGTTAATTTGTTAATTTGATGGGTTTTTTTCTTGGTAAATATAATTTTCGTGTTTCTTGGATTATATAGAATCTTGGGTGTAATAGTTCAAATTCAGTAATGAGCGTAATATGTCTTTGAGTTCCATCGCACTCTTCTGTTTTAGGATATGTATTGTGTATTGGCTATCTGGTAGAAACCGAGCATAAAGAAAGTCCTCATGAATATAATGAATATGTTGTTTGTGATCCTAAACAGGTAATTGTTGTTAGTTTTAAGTGTATATGTACTTTTTTAATCAAGGGTAAAATGGTCATTTGTTGACCATTTGTTCTTTTTAGGTTTGAAGGTTATTATAAGGTTTTTGGTTGGAGTGAAGTTTGAAGAACAAGATGTTTTGTATGAAAGAACCTAATCCTGCTGATGCTGATGTTGATGCTCATGTTATTTGATGTGGATAATTTTTTTTTTGTCTTTTCTAGAAGGATTAGAATTTAGAGCCTATGGAATAGGGGTAGTCTGGTGTATTTCGACGTAAAAGGACATTTCAATTATTATAAGTAATTTAATATCTACATATGTTTTATCTCTAAACAATTAAAATGTTTCATATAGAAATAACTGAAAACAAGAGTGGAAATTGAGTAACATGTGTAAATGAAGCTAACAGTGTGATAATGATGTTTAGGTGAATCTCATTTACCAAAGCCATATATACTAACTTTGTCGTAAATCCCTAAAGCAAGCATATGATGGATTGGATACAGATTGACCGAACGTGAAAGGTAATAGTCTTATGTTATTTTAAATCAACTAATGTCTTAATTATATTAGTGAAAGGTAATAGTCTTATATTATTTTAAATCAAACGCATCATATATTTTTATTTTTATATCATTATAAAACCAACATACCTAAATCTGTTTTTTTTTTCAAAACATTTTAATATTAATTATTATTAACTGTTTGCAAATCCAATATTAATTATTATCATGCCTATTAAGTTGTAAAGTTGTTTTAATGTCTTAATTATTGTGTTAGGTCATTCTTTTTTCAGGTTTAAACGACTACTTCAAATTTTCGAAGGTAAGCAATTTTACATTTATACACGTAGAATGTCGATCAGATATTCATACCGGTATATATTAATTTTAACTAATCATTTTAAACTTACAAACAAAACGCCAAACTTTGTAAATTAATAATTCTTTGCAAATAATTGATTAGTCATTATGATTTGAAATTACCAATAATATCTTTTTTTTCTATATCCATGGGTATTAACCTAGTAATGAAATATAGGTTGTTACTTGTTTACCCGATTTCAAATATAACCCCAAATGCAACAATATACAAGTTACAACGCTGAATGATGTAGAAATAAATTTCTTACTATATAACGAAAGCCCAAAAGAAAAGCCTGGCCCAATAATGTTATAACCCAACCCATATTAGGTTAAACGGGCCACCTTTCTAGTTTCCACTTTATTCCTTTTCCCTTTTCCTACAATCTCTTTCCTGCAAAACCCTTGCTCCGATTCTTGCTGCTAAGCTCAAGTGTACTTCATGATCATGTCTACTCCAACCTTCACCAAACTATAGCCCCTTTCCTGTTTATATAATCTTTCGTTCTTGCTCCATGGAAGCTCTTTCAAGCTCTGTCTTCATTCCGCCCTTTCAAGAGACGCGCTCCTCCTCTACCTCTTCTGCTTCGCTCAGATTAAACTTCTGCTTCCCCAAAACCACGCTTCCTGGATTCCGATCTCGAGGTATTGCCGCTGTTACTCGCCAAGTTGCAGGCGACGGAGAAGATGATGAACAACCACCTGTTGATAATGCCTTTGCCTTGGCTCCTGAACAACCTCCATCTTTTTCTCTGGTATCAAGCTTTTCATTTTACTGGATTTCTTAGATTGTCGTGTGCATTTGTGTCTCCTAACAAAACCGTCACTAAAAATCGCTTATCACGTATCATAAGTAATCCAAAAGAAAAAAAAAACGTATGGTAAGTAGAACTTGAATGAAGGAGCACAAATCCTTTTCATGTGATGTAGTTTATGAATCGATACATCAATCGGCTGCTCAAGCTGTGTAGTGATGGCTTCTCACATTTTCTGAAGGATAACTTGGTTCAAACTCATGGAATAGAAGACTTAAAGAGCACATCAGAAATGATAACACCTACAAGCACACATGGAGCTGGAAGTGCAGGAGGCACTAGGGCTGGGCTCTTCAGAACCCCAATTTCTGGAGGTGTACAGAGCGCAACCTCTGTTCATGACTTACCTAGACCAGCCCTAGCAGTTCGCAATCTCATGGAACAGGTAAACAGATCCTCTTTTCCCCAAGTATTTTGATGCGAATCATGTGATATGGTACTTGTTTTCTCAATCACCTTCAAAATTTGTGATCTTCTTCACTATTTTGAACTTAAAGGCAAGGTTTGCTCACTTGTGTACTGTAATGTCACGGATGCACCATCGTCGTGAGGGATACCCATTTGGTTCACTGGTAGACTTTGCACCAGATGCTATGGGGCGTAAGTTGCTTATCCTTTCTTTGTTCTAAATTTAGTTGATTCTCATAATGACATGATTTTATCATAACTTTTACCTGCAGATCCAATATTTTCCTTTTCTCCATTAGCTATACACACAAGAAACTTGTTAGCTGATCCAAAGTGTACATTAGTGGTGCAGGTTAGCATGCTATCTTGCACTATCGTTAAGTATCTTAGTCTTTCCATATACACCCTTTTTCTGACAGTTTTCTTGGTAGATACCTGGATGGAGTGGCTTATCGAATGCAAGAGTCACTATTTTTGGTGATGTTTATCCCCTTCCTGAAGATCAACAGGTTTAAATACATCAATAATCAAACTTTAGTGATGAATTTTCTTGATTTTGAGGAATTGAAAGAAAAATGAAATGTGGTTTTTGTGTTTTAGGAATGGGCTCATAAGCAGTATATATCAAAACATCAACAAGGGCCATCACAGCAATGGGGAAACTTTTACTACTTCAGAATGCAGAATATAAGGTCTGTTTTTGACTTTTTGGATTTTGTGATTGATGTATGTTTTGACTTTTGACTTTTGATTGAAGCAGTGATATATATTTTATTGGAGGTTTTGGGACAGTTGCTTGGGTGAATGTAAAGGAATATGAGGCTCTTCGACCTGACAAGATTGCTGTGGATGGAGGTGAACAGAATCTGAAGGTGATGACTTGAGGGTTTGTTTTAGCATATTGGTGATAGTTGAGGGTTGGTTGTCTAAATTTAACTAATGAGAATGTTTTTATTTCAGGAGCTGAATGCCATTTTTTCGAAGCCCTTAAAGGAGTTGTTGTCAATGGAAACAGAGGTGGATGATGCTGCATTGATATCCATAGATAGCAAAGGGACAGATGTTCGTGTTCGTCAAGGTGCACAGGTAATAATATTAATTATTAATTATAATAAAACATGTTTTGTCAAATGTTTTTTTTTTTTTGGAGAAGTTAATGATGTTTGTGTGTGTGGCAGTTTAATATACAGAGGTTAGCGTTTGAAGAAGGGAATGGGGTTGAGACACTTGAGGAAGCCAAAACAGCATTGTGGAACTTGATTCGAAGAGGTGGTGAACACAAGTTTTGACAAAATTTATCATTTATTATTTTTGAGTTTTTTTTTTTTTTTTTTTTTTTTTTTTTTTTTTGTAAGAGAGTAGTAAATAAAAGGGGGTATGAGTAAAAAACATGGTCAAAATAGTGACGTGGCCAACTCTCATAATCTGTGATCCCTAATACTACTAATGAAGGAAAGTTTTAAAAGGGACTTTCTGTTAGATATCTGTGATGTATCTGCATACCATTGATAACAATAGATGTAGATTGTCTGATTTTCAATTTTGCCTCGATTCGATGTTATAAAGTAGCAGTGTCACAATTGTTCAGATTTATGAACGTATTTTGTTTGACACCGAGCATTTGTATTGAGACAATAGAAAATTTTTGAATAGGAGAAAATTAGATTAAGAAAAATATGATAATAGGAAAAAAAAATAATTTTACAATGAATCAACAATTCTATTACACTATAGGATCAAAAATAATTTTACAATGAATTTTACATGATTTTACGAGTAGAGGAAAATACTTGGGTGTGTTTAGTTATGAAAAAATAAGTCGCTATCTTAAAAAACAAAAATACTTTTCAACAACCGAACACATCTTAGTGAATTTAAAAAGAAAAGATCGGATAGGAAAGTACTAGACTACTAGCTTATAAAGTTATATTTTAAATAGAATGAAGCTGAGTCCAAAAGTCATTTTGATGAGCTTCTAAGGGTTTTTAGTTTTTAGAAGCCACTTCCAGATTTTTAGTGATTTTAACATCCGAAGAGTTTGCGTAAAACTTCTATACAAATAAAAGTTTCAGATTCCAACTATTTTTGCGGAACTTTTCTAAAAGTTACATCTTTTAGCTATTAGATTCCAACTGACAACTAGTTTTGCAAAACATCCGGCTTTCAGATTAATAACTTTTGTTCTAAAATAAAAAGTTTTAACTTTTAAACACGTATTACAAAGCTTTTTTTTAAATTCGGGACTTTTCTTATAAGCTAAAATTCTCAAACCTTAAAAGCTCTTGCGTTGCCAAACACCATAATTATCAAACAATTACTTTTTTTTCACTGCATAAATTAATATTTGAAAGACAGCCACTAATCAATGTTAAATGTTACAAAAATTGCTTACATTTATGATTTAACTCAAAAGCTAATAAACGCTGTTAAGTTTATAGTCTCAACAATTTATTTAAAGTGGATGTGGATCATCAACACAGCACAACACAGAATGAGGCTTAAACCAGAAGAAAAGACAAGCAATCTACAAACTCCATTTCCAATCCTCCATAACACCAGAAAGAGACCAATCACAATCACTGCAATCATAAAACACAACTGTAACACCTTAGAATGGAAGAATAGAGAAACTAAATTCACTAATTAGATATGAATTTAGGGAAATATCAAAGCTAGTTTCTTTATCATGGCAATATGGCATTTATATTGGACTGAAACATACATATAATTAACAAGCTAGGGCTCTACAACTGACATTCTACCAACAAGAACCCGAAATACCACCTCTCAACATATATTATAATGTTCTGCAAAGTAGCACCAGAATCCTATTTGAATTTATCAGATGTAATCAAAACCCAGTGAATTTGCAAGGGATCAATGCGGGTGCTTTTTAAGATATCAGTGCTCAGTATAGATTTTTATGAACCTAAAAATATGTAAAATTGAGCGAGAGATGAAGAAAAACAATAAGCGATCATAGACTTGCTAAAATTGATCACGCCCCAAACATTTGATAAACGGTTATGCCACAAGAGCAAAAGAAAAGGGAATCGAACAATCAATGTAGAACCCACCTTGAATATGATGTGCAGATTGTTGCAGCAATCAGTGGCCACCGTGCTCCTTGATATGCTGCTGATGTTCAAGGTGACGGCGCTCCTCTGGAAGGGCGATGAGGTAGGAGAAGATCATGCCGCCGAAGCAAAGATGATAGAGAGGTTGGATGGAGTCAGTTTGAATGTATTTGACATGGTAATTGTCCAACGCTCTCTGTGTAGATGTTTTCAAGTTGCTCACTGTGAGCAACGGCTTCACGTGCGCCGCCGCATCTTTCACCTTCATCCCTCTGATCTCGTTGAGAATTTGCCTCATCGCCATTTTCAGATTGATTGACTCGGTGAAACCCTAACCCTAAACTTGGATCTAGTTCTCTACGATTCCGATTGTATAATTTACTCACGTGTCGCGAGCGTAACTATCCGGACCCGGATCCTTATCAAATACCGGGCCAATTCCAACACAAACCGGTTCATTCCTATGGACAACTATAAAATTTAAAAAAATTATGGTGTTATATAGAAATAATGACTTTTGAAGATAACAAATTTTTTATTTTTGTTAATATTTAGTTATTTCTACTATATTATATATTATTTATTGTTGAACTTATTTTTTATGTTCAAAAAACACCATTGTGAGGATTATTATATTTTATTTATCATTAAACTTGTATTCATGTTCTCATTTAGCGGGTTTCCAACGACTTTGCATCTTCAATCATATTCTCCACCGAGTGTCCAACTTACATGAGTTTTCTTGCGAGTTACAACCAAACATGCACTTCTACATATTGGGTCAAAAACCCATGAAGAAAAGCTTTAAGTTTTTGGAAATGAAAACCCACATAAAAATCGAGCTTTCGGACCTGATGAGTTTTTCTAGGTTTTCGAATTCTTGAAGGTGAGGAGAAGCTTCAAGTTCTTGTGGGTTTCTTAGATGAAGATTTGGTGGGTTTTTCTGGTTTTCTGATGTGTATGTTTTCTTGATGTACCAAGAACTCACCGAAAAATTCATGTTCGCCAGACTAATCGGATAAAATGATTGGAGTCATTGAAAACCGGTTAAACCTATAATAACAGATCATAATGATTTTTTTCAACAACAAAAACAAAACGGTATAAAGAAATGACTAAATATGAACAAAAATTGTTACATTCTAAAGTTCTTATCCGTATTATATAATAATGTACATATACACCAGTTTTCGAGAAAAAAACAAAAAAAACGGCCACAAACATATTTCGTAGGGGACAATAACATTTTTCAGAGCACCCCCCTTGCCCTGTAAAATGTGTTTTTGGCCAATTTTAGTATTTTTGTTGAAAAATCTTGAACGTATGAATTATTAGTATAAACTATTATTTTAGTATAATATTTTATAAAACATTGTAAATTTGACGAATAAGGTGTTGTTTGTTTTTCGAAGCGAAAACGACTGAAGTCTGCGGACCACATCTGCAACCCTCTGCAATAGAAAAGGTGGACCAAACGACTGCAACATGTAATAAAAAATCTGTTTGTTTTTAACCTCTGCAGACTGCTGCAATAAACTGAAATTAATTATACAATAATTAAAAATAAATCTAAATAAAAAAATTATTTAGTTTAATTATATGCAAATCAAATATAAAGATCACTGTGATGATATGATTTTTAAAGAGGTTTATATAAAAAAATTAAACATAATATTTGCTAAATGACAATAAATAAAATTGTTAATTTAGCTAAAAACATGTTCATTTTTGTTAAAATTTAAAGACATGTGATTATTTTTTCGGTTAACTTCAATAAATTTGGTAATTTTAATGATTAACTTTATAATTTATTAATATTTGGTTATAGATAATATAACATAAAAAATATTTATATGAAATTTACCAAATGGTTTTGAAATTATTTGAATTTATGTAAAATATACTCCAATTGTTTATAATATTTTTCAAATATTATTAAAATAATAAGCATGTTAAAAAACTTAAAACAAGCCTAAGTTGGATAATATAACTTAAAGTAAGTGAGAAGTTGTTTGAAGAGGATGGTCAGTGTTGTGCCACGCAGCACACGCGCATCAGTTTTTAAGTTAGAAGTCTTTCAAAAAACAAACAACTACGAAATGTCAAATGTTGCGCATGTGTTGCACGATGCAGCAAGAAGTGGTTGTTCTGAAAAAACAAACAACGCCTAACTTAAACATTTCATAACAAATAAAAGGACCGTTAAAAACTTATAATATGAAAAGTCAAAACTAGATAATAGTCTCTTCCTCTTATGATTCCGACAATACGAACAATGTAATTTGTATGAATACGTAACCCAAACATTAATTAATTTGTATACAAGCAAACTGATCCAATTTTATAATAACAGACTATCCATGGGGATTAATATTTATATCAAGAAAGATGCATTGCTTCATAAACATTTAAAAAAAAATAAAAATAACTACCCTTCCCCCACACCAAACAAATATAAATTAATCAATAATCATGTGTTGTACGTGTGAAAATAAATGTACAACAAACACAACATAATGATAATCTCTCTCTTTCTCTCAATATATGAATATACAAATGTTCAATACAGACCCAACATTCTTAGCTCTGTGACATGACTGGGGTCAAGTTCAGTAACACCCTTGTTCACTTCTCTGTCTTCAACAATGTACTCCTATTATAGCAACCAACTTTCCTCAATAAAAATTTAACAATTACAAAAACTCATAATATATATATATATATATATATATATATATATATATATATATATATATATATATATTAGCAGGCTTTTGTTAACCTTTGTGAGTTCTTGTTTGGCAAGAATGTGATAGTGTCGTTCATTGATTCGTTGTCCACATATTATGGCTATAAAGAAACCATACAGCAACCCCACCAAAACAATTGCTAACACTGAAATTACACAACATGACTCTAAATTATCAAAATACAAAAACCTAAAAATTAATTTCCACAAAATGTAAAACAAGCAAAGAGATAGAACTGGACTTACCAGCCATTGTATAAAACCCATAAGGGTGCTCTTCATATCCAAACATTTCTCTCAGTTCATCTCCATAAAATTTGTACACCAACACACCTAAGAACGCCACAATCTGCTCAAAGTGTCCAAACAAAATTCTTATGTTATAACACCAAATGGTATCAAGAACATACAAAGATAAGATCATAAGATAAATGAGTTGCATTTGCATACGAGTTGAACAATGACAAAAATGAATGCATGATCTCTAGCAACCAGCAATTGAAATTTCAATCTCAACCACCATCTATCAGGAGGGACATTTGCACGTAGTATAAACACTGCCCTACATTCTGTGCAATGAGAGAAAGCAAATCCTTCCTGCAACAATGGTGGACACACATCAGCAATAATCAATAGAATCAAGTTAGTGCTATTAGCATGTTTTAGAACATACCCTGGTTGACCTCCAATTGTCTAGACATGACCTGTGGACATATTTCTGAGTGCCTCTACAGTGACATGGTGCAATCAAATCATCTCCTGTAAATCAGTTAAACAGGATAAGAAATGAATCTTCTTAATCACATGATTCACATCCTCCATAAAATTGTTTTTAACAGAAATTTGAAGCTTTATGAAGAAGAAAGAGCTCCAGAGTTACAGAAAAACAGACCTTCTGTATCAAGGCATATGCGGCATTGTGGTTGGTCTGAAGCAACCAGACTAGTATTTTCATTGGCATCAGAACTTTGTGAATCTTCAACAGATATGGAACAATCACTGCTACCTTCGGTTCTTATTTCAAATGTAGATGAATGGTTGTCAACTCCCTCTGCACTTCTAGACTCGTTTAAGATGGGTTCTGTTTCTGAAGAGCCTTCTCTTGGACTTTCATCTGACATTAATTGCATCTTGAGAAACTTGGAATTTGGATCAAAGTAAAGCTTGCAAAGAGGTTTCTCCTATGTACCATTTCAACAGAAACTCCAAATCCTGCACTAGAATCAGAAAATGTAATTAGGATTGGAATTGGCAATAAGATACCTGCAAACAACATCCAATCCAAAACTATTTGTAATGAATCACTTTGGTTAATCATATAATTCTACCATTGCTAAGCCAAAATCTCCCTAGTATCTCCACCTAACCTATTATCATACAGCCAGCAGATCTTGAAATGCTCTTTGGAAGGCTACTAGCTCATAGCATAGCAGAAAGAGGACCAGAGTAAGATTAACAATAAGGAATAGAAACAGCTTGAACTTTCCATAAGACAGTGACGCTTAAATCAGAAGAAAATAATTGGTTGTAGCAGTTGGATACAAATCACGGCAATGAAGAATTCAATGCTCGCACAGGTGTTCAACAATCCATTAACATCAAAAGCATAAAAAGTTATTACGATCCACACATGTAGCAATCTGTATGTGCTGATTATGAGATATTGAGAAAAAAAATTGCAGAAAAATTAGGGATAATTGGGTGAGGAGCTGACCTAGCTTTCAAGAAATGATAGGTTTTCTACAGACATTTGAGGATCGTAGGGCTGAAACAAGTCTTAAGGATTGGCGGCAGATGGAGATTGGGAGCCTGAAGGAGATCACCAGAAAGACCTGGATTTGATCAACACGAATAACGATGACAAATTAAACTTTTGTCGTTATCCATAATTACTTACAACTTTTATTCAAGAAAAGTTGTGTATTTTTATTTTATCTTAAAATGTGTTAAAACGATAAATCAAAGATTATTCGTTAAAATAAGAGTAAAACAAATAGAGAAACCGTAATCTAGCCATATTTCTAAATAGGAAAATTGATTAATATAACCCTTTTTTTTGTTGTTATTAAAAAATATAACTTTTTTTTTTTTGCAAAATGACCGCTTGGTTCGGAATTGGGTTTTTCAGACCCGATTTCAAATTCGGTTAAACGGTTAGATAATTCCGACCCCATAAATTGGTTCTCCTATAAATACCATTTAACCCGTTTTGGACTAGACTTCGACATCCCTTGTTTCGGATTACCCTGCATCCCATTCTCCCATTCTGAACACTTCTACAACTATCCTCTTGAAAGAGAGGGGTGCCTTCGGGAACGCGGACACAGGTGTTGCATGGCTGTCGTCAACTCTGATAGCAGTGAAGAAATGCAGTTTTTATTTGTAAGTTTCAAATTTGTTTCTAATTAAATGCATTTATTTTAGATTATACGTTAAAAAATATATAGTTTACGCAATTATATAGGTATTATAGGGTTTTCTGTGAATTTTAATCGTGTTAATACAATTATAGAATTAGATGGACTTATACGTTTATACTATATGATACATCGTTATCAAAAACCCTAATTTTAGCGAGTCTGGAATCCAAAAATCATGCCTAGAATACAATAAACTGGGTCTGGAATTTTGGTCCAGAATACCGTACCCGGTTTTCGGATTCCGGAACATACATACAAAAATCCTAATTCCGGAATACAATCAAAATCCCTACGAATACAATCAAATACTCTAACTTTGCTCTGGAACATACATACAAAAATCTTTAATTAATAATTCTTTTGATTGTAGCACGATAGAACATACGAAGCGGTTGTTACTACAACCTGCAGACCTAAACTTGGGCGCGAAATTAAGACGCACTTACAAAACCGACCAGTTTGTGGGCGATGTTTAGGCAATCATGTTTTGGTGATTACATGAACATGTCGATGGGTGTCGAATGTCACTGATAACCGAGTATTTTCCCATAACCAAATCATGTCATTGATTTCAATATATATACACGTACAAATAGATTTTTATTGAAAAGTAGGATGGATTTTTATTGAAAAGATTATGAAAGGGGATATCATTTTGAAGAGTGGAGGAGGGAAGAATATTTAGAAGATGAGTCGCCATGTGAAGAGCTTCAAACCAAAAGGTTGGAGGTAAGTGGGCATGAAAAAGTAATGTACGGGTCATATTGTTTAAGGTTTTTAACATGCGTTCGGATTTCCCATTTTGTTGGGATGTGTATGGGCATGAGAAAC